TGCTGTCTCTGTTTACAACCCTTCTGCTGGGACTAAAATAAAAGATTTACATGGGGGGCAAAGGCAGCTTTTAAAAGCCATTTATATGTGTCCTTCAACTGTGCCATTTGGTTTATCTCCATCATATACATTTCAGAAGAAAAACTTCACTTCACGATTCATAAAATTTCACTTCAAGGTTTGCAATACCCAGACTTTCACAAGTCAGTTCATCAACAGTTTTTTAAACTATTGCTGACAATTTTATTGTCATGAGTGCTGCTGAGATAAAAGCTTGGCCGAATACTGAAAAGCATCACAAACAAACAGTTTTTACGAGTAGTATACAGTTTACTTTGTATTCACTGGGACCCATAGCCCTTTAATATTACTAGAGGACTACTTTCATATTAGAGACACATCGCTGGACGTCAATTCATCATCTGAATAGGATATGAAATAAAAGCACGAAAGAGCTAAAGCTACAGAAGGAATAATAAAGAACGGATGGATTACTGTATTTAAGACTGCACCAAAGGACAGAATGAGGGAAACATAGATAGTGGTTATCACTTACACACATATGCATAGCCATTGCCCTTGCTATATCTTTAGTGGCAGTAAGGAAGACACATAAGCTGGATTCAGGAGCAAATGACCCCTTCTTACACTGTCACATTACTCACATGAAACCCATGCTCAACGATGCAATAATGAACTTTATCAAGACCGCTTTCATCCAGCATTTGGAACTAAATGTTTCTTTCCTCTTTATGTGGAAGAACATGTGTTTCCTTCCAAGATAAGAAATAAACTTGAGCCGTCAGAAAGTTCCAGTCTCTCACAGATGTCCAAAATCCCAGCTCATTTGGTGAGGCAATCAGAGTCGACGGGCGTTGCTTTTAGCTGCGGTTACTTTCATACAACCCAGGTCAGGATATTTACGAGTCACACCATTGCTTTATTTTAAAAGCCCTCAAATACCAGCACTCAGGCCACTGATGAACACTTGCCTGTAGCCAGGCCATAAAACAACAATATGAATCAATCTGTGTTGTTGAAAGTTATGTAACAAATCAAATTCATATTGTCGATGAGGCACTCTTTGCTCACCCCATGTATTCCTAAATTGAAAAAAAACAAGTTAATAAATGAAAACAACACTCTGATAGCATGACCCTGATACTCATTAGCATATAATTTATTTTCTCTGAGCTGTTTATTCCTACTGACATTAATCATCTACTTTCATTGAATTTCTTGCACTCACTACACAGAAGATGGTGTCAAGATTGAAATTCTGCAGTCCTGACCATGATCACACACAAAGAGGCACCTCATCTATCTTGCAATCCAAATGTAAAAAGCAATCGTGTTCAATATGTGCAATAAAATGTCTGGCCCGCAGCTTATCTTCTTAGACTGCTGCACCCTCAAGATGTCCATCTGCTGTGGATTAAATCTTCTATTTTAACTGTTCACATCAATGCCTGCAGACCCTCACAGACAGAAATAATATATGCCTGGGAGAGCGGGCTTATTTTTTTCCCACAAGCTTGCCCCTTCAGCAGCACTTCAAAACAACTTGTCAGTGGCTGTCAGTTTAAATTAGCGGACTAGCCCTTTACGCCACTGTTTTCTGACTCTGGTAAATCTGCAGGCTGTCTCCATCAATCACAGAGCAGCTCCCACACACTCTCACACGCACGCACACACACACACAAAAAAACATGCGTACAAAGTTACACATTATTTGTTCTACAGTGCCGACAAATACACACACACACACACACACACACACACACACACACACACACACACACACACACACACACACACAGAAACAAAGACATGAAGTAAGGATGCACTTGCACTCTGGCAATGGCTTCTTCCAAACTAACAAAGCGGTTGAAAACGATGAGGTTGTAGCAGTCTGTCTATTTCTACAGAGATTTCCCTTCTCTCTTTCTCTCTGAAGTGTCAAAGCAAATAAATTGTTTTTCATGTCTCTCATTACCTCCAGGGACCTGCAGATAGTAAACACTGCTCAAGTGTGCAACACTCACTGGTAACTCACACATATAAAGTAAGTACTTCTCTGAAGTTGCAGATTTACTCTCAAATGACACCACATATTCACAGACTTTTGGGATCTGTATTTATTACTGGTCTATTATTATCACCTCCCATTTTGTGTTCTCTTTATAATATTTAATTTTCTTGTGTGTTCATTTAATTATCAACATATATTTACAGAGGAAGTTTCATTGAGATAAAGGTAAAGACATAAAGGCAAATTATTGATACAGGAACAATCATCACGCATGCACACCCACACATTAATTAAAGAGAGAGAGAAAGTTCTCCCTCAGTATAAGAATGTAGTTAGAATTTCTAGTTTCTGAGCAATGAGTTCCACACGCTGATATCAAACCAATTGCTATGTGTTTACAACGCTGTACTATATCAACTAGATCACCGTTGAGGGCATGGAAGTCCTTCTAAAATGCATCTGTGTTGTTGTATTGGAGTGATGGAGTTATGGAATACAACATGGCATTATCAGCATAATTGAGAGTTGTAAAAATGTATATAATGAATGTAGAGAGTAAATACATGGGGACCCAATATTGATCCTTGCCAAATTTCTAACAACTTCATTGGGCTTGATTTGAACAAAAATGGCATCAACATTCTGAAGTCTGCCAGAAAGTAAAGATAAACCGCTTTCAGAAGAATCCAAACCCAGGGAAAGCATCTTAATGTTGTGAACGACGGAATCAAAAGCCTTACACAGACCTTGATATGGAATATGTTCTTCTAAAACAAAGACAGAAAAGCCTGAGGCTGTCGTCAATATTTTTCCTCTGCCATGTCATGCCAAGACATGAGTTGCAAATGGTCAAAAGAAATGCCGGACAGACTGATACAGGAGCTACAGTATCCTCATGTAGTGTGCGACACATGTGCCTGTACTGGCATCCGAGAAGGGTTGGGCAGGCTAAGCAGATGTTGGCTGTTATATAATACCTCCCATTAGTCTAGTGTTTTTTGGCAGGCTTTTGCCCCGTCCACCCTGCAATGTGTGTTACTGCTTTCGAAATCCCTTAGTGGACGAGATCCATACAGCAATCCACTAAAAAATAGATACTGCAGCCTGTGTCATTTGGCAAACTTAACAACGCTCATGCTTGTACACTAGTTCCACAACATTTCCCCTCAGTATTTTGGAAAGGTGCTGACACAGCGTTCTGGGCTCGTTGCTGCAGACAGAGATTGGGATTGACTGCTTGAAAATCGAACAACCCCAAATTTTTTGCTGCTATCAAAGTAAAAGAAATCCTCTCTTTCACAGGTCTGTGTAAGAAAGACTAGTGTTAGTGTTCAACAGTGACTGTTATGATCAAGCAAACCTTTGCAGAAACATAGATGTAATCTAACATGGAATGACTGTATTTGACTCTAGTTGTTGTAAGGAAAATTATCATTTAACTTAGTAAATTATTGTTATATTTTGAACAAATTGATGTTTACCAGTCAACAAAAATCCAGTTGTAATCATCAATTTTGACATGTCATGACCAGGCTACTACAGATAATCAAGCTGAGTGAAACATTTCTCTCTGGGTTGCCAGGGCACGGACGGATACAACAATTCCTGTCAAACCTCCTCTTGGTACTTAATCAATCTGCATAATACAGAATGTCAGGATGAAAAAAAACAAAAAAGAAAATCACAGCGAGGAAAAACAAAACAATTACACCTCTGTGATTATTTATTTCTCCTGATGATTTCTGTGTCTGTTTTTGTTTGAGCCATGGGGAGCAGTGTGAGTAAACTGCTTGAAACTGTCTTCCAGAGAGTGTGACATTGCCCCGGAAATAATAGGAGGAAATTGGAAACATGGCCTGTCAATTAATTGCTTGTTTATTTTAATAACAGCCATGATAGGAAATATTCTGAAGAGCAACGCTCCACCGGATATGGAGCCATAAACAGACAGGCCTAGTCACTCGAACACTCTGTGAAGCTCACACATGTTGGCCCATGTACATAAAATGAATAAAATCCTTTACCACACATGATTAAGGCAGCAGAGATTTATATTTTTCCCTAATCTTGAAATGATGTGACGCATGACCATGAATAAAGCCAACAGGATTCTTTCCTGGGATGCAAGCAATCCTTATGCGGCCTTCACAGAAACACTTCGCTTCATGTGACTGAACCTGCAATCTGGTGATGTGGTGTGTATCACGGCATTGCATTCAAAGGTAAATGAAAACAAACAAACAAGGACACTCAGCATTGTCGAAACACAGCACAGACAGCAGCTCGGCAGCTGACAGGAGATGAATGAATGACCTTTGTGTGGTGTCTGCAGACATTACCAACCTTCTTTACAGCCATAAGTGACTGAATAAGTAGGGAATAAATTAATAAACAAATTAATTCTGTTACTCTCCTGGTCCATGACATAATTTGACAAAGGAAAAATCCCCCGCTGTGTGCTCCAGCAACAAGGTAGACAACTAGGATTAGTTTGGATACATCAGCACTGTCTACTGTTGACTTATTTGTGAGGTCGTGCTGTCACACTTGCTCGACTTCAATGTGAACCAATGGTTCATGCTGAGGTTAAGCAAGGCAGCTGAATACAATTTGTGAAAGTATCATTCACTGGTTTCCTCTTGAAGATAAATGTACATATTAATCTGCTCTTTACTTGGGCTCTGATCTGTGGAGCAAAAAACTTCAAGCAGGAAGAAGGGAACACTTTGTGGAAGTGAACTCTCCTGAAGTAGGAGAATATGTGAATGCATTTTTTTCATTTTACATAACTCTTCTCAAAAGTAAGGGACATTTCTCAACTTAAAACAGAAGACAATATGACTGAGATGAATAGTATGGAACAAAAAATGGCGGCTTCTTCAATGTGCATGTGAAACATGTCCTTTAAATAACAAATAAAATGCAGTCAAGGATGCTGCTGACAGTTGTTTACTGTTACTACTCTTACCTCTGGGAGAAAATGTCCCTGTAGGGGCTGCCGTGCTGCATGGCGATACCATATCCACGGTCTGGTGCGATGCTGCTGACAGTGTAGAACGAGCAGTCCTCATCGTTGTTAGCTACGTACTCCAGCACTGCTGCATCCCACACAAAGCCAAAGCGGCCGTACTTCACCTGAAAGAAAAGAAAAAAGACATTTAGACACAGTTACCAAAATTCAGATCGGTGCATCTGTACCTCAGGTTGTACAGGTGATAAGCAACAACATTGTGTTGAGTTATTGAGAGTCTTTGAGGTCCTTGACAGGCTTCTAGCTTGGCCTCCACAATATGGAACTATTTGAAAATGATGTCACTTACTTTTGCAAAAACAAAGTTCAATTCATCAAACATAAGACGCTCTACTGCAGGATGGCAACAGCACAGCAACTTTACTGTTTTTAACTTCCCCTCTAGACTGTAGATACACAAGTGTTACTGGCTTGTTGGCTCATCTTTCTTGCACCCATATGTGGATATGTGTTGGGTGTGTTTTACATTTTTATGTGCATGCCGTTGCAGTGAAGTGCAGGTGGGTGTGAAGTGTGTGCTTGCAGCTTGTGCTTGAAATTAGAGGGTCGAAGTGACTCAAAGTGAGAATTACAATTTGTTTGATGTGAAGGTGCCGGGTGTTGACATGGCTTCTCATTAACATTCAATAAATCGTCATTTTCACACCAAAATGAAAAGTGGAGAATAAACAATGTGGCTGTGATATTCACATCCTGACACCCTTTCTGAAAATTCAATAGACGCTCTCACACACACACACGCACACGTACACACATGCACGCACACACACACGCGCACACAGACATTTCTTCTAACATATTATTTTGGATTTGGTGTGTCATTAACTTTAATGGAGCTTTATGAAATTGTTAAACCCCTCTGTCTTCACTGTGTGTGTATGTGTGTGTATCACCTCAGTTGGCCTATGTGTGATGACTAATGTCTGAGAACCGACAAGACCCTCTGATTGGGTAATTTCACAGTCTGCAGTCCTCTGAAGTGTGTGTGTGTGTGTGTGTGTGTGCAATAATTCACTGCAGGGCATCAGATTGACTCCTTCTGCTCTTTACAACCTTAAAAAGTGTAGAGAGAGTAATTTATTACCTCAAATAATTTTACGGCTTTTTACCATTGCTTTTGAATTGGAAAGATTATGGGCTTTGTGGAAGGGAAATGAGTAAAAAATCAGTTCCAACAGCTTACCATTGTGTATTAAGGACTTCTCGCTATTTGGGTGAAAAGGGGCGGTGTGTGTGTGTGTGCATTATCATGCACAGTGCTGTGTGTATGCGGTGACCTCTGATGTCAGCCACACTGAAAACACAAGAAAGCCGTGCTGATCTCATTCACATTATTCTTTAGAATTCAGACACTGCACATGCTGAGTGTATATAGATTCCCACAACGGAACAAAAAGTGTCCATTACATGTATACTACCTTTTTCCGGAGAAAAGCTATTTCCCTGTAGTCTTTCCAGGATTTGGGACCTCACATGGGGTCACTTGATATGGAGATTAGTTTAAATGTACCAGTCTTTACATCACAATAAGACTCAGCTCGAAGCTTTAATCCAATTAAACTACACTCGATAAATAAATGATTATAGCAATGCCAACAAAGCAGACAATCACATAAAAAAGACTTATCCCTAGAATGAAAATGATGCTGGAGCCTGTGAAAGGAAGTGCTCTTGCCTGCAGCTGTGTTTCATAAACAGAGACAAAGTATCTGTGAATAGGGAGCGCTTGATTTGCTCTACATGCAAAGCATCAGTTTATTATCAGCTCAAGTTTGTTTAATTACCAGAAACAACGTCATGATCAATTTCCATGAAAGGCATGTGATTGTGATTATCTAAGCAGCTCACATGACAAAATGTACAACTTTCTTACGGCTGAGAACTTTGGATGGGTCAGAACAGTCTGGGAAAGCCTTTACTATTCTATTTTCTGCCCCCGTCTCAGAGTATTACATGTTACTACAGGTGTTTAAGATGGATGAGCTTTCCAGTTTGTCAAGGACTTATAAGGATTATCTAGGCAAGGCAGCTTTCTATTTTGCACAAGCTGCATTTGCATGCATAGCGTAACCTGGCAATGGGCTCCAATTAAGGTGTTATCCAAGTTAAACTATATACATGCACCTTTGACACCCTGTGGTGGAGTCGCCATGTTTCCAATTACACTGTTCATGAGAAGAAAACATAAACCAGTCAAAAGAACTACAATTTGAGGCCTCTTAAAATACAAGGGAAGAATTCATGATCCTAATAATTAATAATAATAATAATAATAACAAACGCTCCTTTCTGGCATGCTTTTGTCGCCGCTGGAATACGTATTTTGACTTTGTTTCACATTGGGGTCATGGAGAAGAAATGACCATAAGAGTTCAAATCAAATTGTTGAGCTTTCCAGATCAGAGTAGCTTTAAGACCTCGCCAGACATGATGATAAAAACAAAAAAAGGTGCAAGATGTTTATGGGTCGCAATAGCTATTAAAATACTGACGTATAGTATGAATCTTGTACAGTATGTGCCATTAAAGTGAGTCGAAATGTTCCTGCATCAATATGCGTAAATACAGAAGCAGCTTCTGAACTTGTTTCTAGATGTAAAAATAGTGACTGGAGTTTTGTGCTAGTACTGTATGTATAAATAGAGGTAAACATATCTGTAAGAGAAGAGGGGGAGGACGGGATATTTTTGCAATTTCACTTGACATTACCAGTTCACACATTAGCATAGTGCAAATACTGAATCAGTGATTTTGGGCTTAGAAGCCTGCATTTAGGTGATTTAAGGTGTCATTATTTTTGTGCAGAAGGAGGTTTGTGGTCAGAGAAGAAGGGCTGGATTTCAGAATACGGAGGGGAACAAACCGACGTAAGATCATAACAGATCAACACCAAACCCCCGTTATCTTTCCCTGGATTATACTCTGGTTTGATCAACAGTAATATTTGCACTGTTCTATGTAAATAACAACATTTCTGTACATATTACGCCACATAACATATTGCATAATAATATATATTATTTGCAGCACATATTATGTATTACGTCATCCAAGTTTTTTATAGTTAGAACTAATATCAATAATATAATAACATTCTTTGAATTTGTATTTCCTTATGTTGTCTACACTTTCGTTTATGCACGTCATTCACACATTCCACTTCATATGTTATGTTTACGCTCTGATTTTTATCTGTGCTATAGAAACTATAAACACAAAACACCAATAGTTACGGCTACGCGTTTCCTTAAGGTCAAGCCACAAAACAACATACTTAAAATTTTTGTCTCAGCACAACTGACGAATTTCAAACAAATGTCTCTTTCTTCTTGCTCAGTAGCCGGCTATTGCATCTGGTCCTGTGATCAAATCTAAAAACGGGAGCTATTTGTCAGAGAGGGGGGGGTTGTCCAACAATAGAAGAGAACAGCTTGTCTCTCACTGCAACAGTGTACTCAACTAAAACAAAAGCCTCAATCAACAGATCCCAAAATACTCTTTGTGGACACAGCCCACCTACGTTCATACGGTATTTTAAATAGCATACTTTAGAGTCTCATAAAACCTCCCATCATGGCAGATGAGGTAATGCATTCACCCACTACCAGTAGATTGGCATCCAGATAACTTTTTAGCACTTTCATTGGCAGACTGCATTTGAGAATAGTTCTCAAATCTTATAGTCCGGCAAATAATAACTGTGGTTGTAGTTGTAAGCCACTCTCAAGTGAACTCTTCATTAAATGTGTTCACTCTGAGCTCTTAACCTGCTTGAAATTGTCTGTACTGTGAGATTAGGTTATCATGCACGTGCAGTAAGTTTATGCAAGCAACACTTGCATAAACTTACTCAACACTAACCGCTGCATCTCGAAATGTCCGTCATATAACACACACAGATGCACAGAACACATGCACACACTTTAACTTCTGTCTTGTGTCCAGGGTTGTGACTCTTGCTGTGCCAGCGTAATTATCAGAAGCTATTTTCCTCAGAAACACTGACAAACACTCACAGTATTGCACACACACACACGCACACACACACACGCACACCCACACACACACACACACACATCAAACATCCACCAATGAATCCTAATCATTGCATTGGGCCTTGTTTTTCTCTCTCATGAATGTGACACAGACGACCCAGTAAGATCCACAATCACTAAATTAAAGCCTTCCCTGCATCACCTCCTCCTTTTTTCTATCACTCACGTCACTTTTTAATGTGCATCCCTCTATACATGGGAGGAGAGAATATTAACCTAATTCTGTTGCTCTATCACTGTTTATGTTGTTGTTGATCAGTTTCAGAGTGTTTTTGTAATGGCAGAGCTCATTTAATGAACACATCACAGCACTGAACGATGAGCCCGAGCTATTTTTGCTACAGCTCTGTTTTGTTTTGCAAGGCAAAGGGTCAAAAAAACTGTAAATAGGGAATAGTTGCAAAGAATCTAATTATTCATAATTTTCTGCTATTATTTATAATTAGTAGTTGTGAATGTTCTTGTAAAACACAGAAGGGGCTGTGACTGGAATGTTAACATTTTGTTCAACTAAGAAGAATGTCAGTGTAGAAATGTATCCGAAACACCCCCCCCCCAACAAAAAGAGTACTGAAGTGAATAAATGTTAACGTTGGGAAATGAGTTTTCCACTGCAACTATACAACAGAAAGAAGAGGTAGAGGAAATATGATGCACATACAATTATTTTAATATTATAATGTAGGGCATGCAGGCAAAGCAGATCTAAAATGTGATTGAAGAAGAAAATAGAAGCTTGACGTTCTTCAGTTTGGACATTGGAACAACTAAACGGGTCTTAGCCGAGTAAATAAGCTACTAGAGAGATCAATAAAAAGGTCAGAACCACACCAAGCCACCCTGTCTCCTATAAATAATATTATTGTCTTATGCTTCACATTGAAACTGATTTTTTTTCAATATCCAACCAAGTCTACTATCCTTCCCCCAACCTTAAATATAACTCAACCATACTCTACTTGCCATGAAAGCCACGCTTTCCTAAACTCAAGTTGCTTAGCATTGTCAAAAAACACAAACATGAAAAAAATACGAATAAAAACTTCAGA